CCCTACGTATTTTATATATATGTACTTTGCTAAAATGCATATTTCAGCACATTAATATTTAAATTATTATGCAAATTATGATTTTTAAAAATTACAATAAAATCTTATTTGAGAGTTGTAAATATGACTGTTTCAATAAAATTTTTTGTAAACAAAAATTCAGTTATTCTAAGAAGATTCCATAGTAGCAGAAGAAAAATTCTAAGCTATTGAGGCATTCATTATGGAGTAACTTCTCCCTCCGATGCAAACACTCAAACTCTGCTTCTGGCCACATGGGCAGGAGATACATGAAGAAAATGAAGACGGACCCTTCCAGAGAGGAAAGTCTGATCTGTTGATGCCTGGGTCTCATACTGTCTAATCAAAGGACATTTTTAAAAATTGTCAGATATGCATTAAGTACTTATTAACGCAGCAACGATTTTATGTAACATAACTGTATCTGCCCCTATGTAGAGTAAGGAGAAAGAGGTAAATATTGGCTTTTTGTTCTGGTTGTTTGACCTTAAGAATCTTAGCTTTATGTGGCTTTTTATCCTCCAGTTATAAAGCTGTCTGAAGCACACTGACTCACTTAAGTTTCCAGTAATGCAGGCAGTGTGACCTTCCGCATTTCACAGCTAGAGCTCGATGAGGCCAGGCGACACATGTGCACTCTCTCAGCGACTAAATCAAAGAGTGGCACTTAGACGCAGGAAGGTACTTTGCCAGGGCTGTCTTTCCGCTACAGAATCACTGCCATGTATATACCTGTACCTGAAAAACCTCAATGAGAACTAAACAGATACCCACCCTCAAACCGCAATTCTTCACCAAAGTGCAACACATCAGGCCAGGAAAATATTTAGATTATGGAAGAAGGAAAGAGTGCAGGTAATAGTACATTATATATTAATTCTTGCCCCAAAGCTGTTGACAGAGAATATTTTTTAATGTCTGATACACGTTCTTACGATAATTAACATGTAATTTACATTGTCTTTCTCTAGAGTATCTCAAATTGGATTTCTTTTTTTTAACTTTTTTTATTGACTTATAATCATTTTACAATGTTGTGTCAAATTCCAGAGTAGAGCACAATTTTTCAGTTATACATGAACATATATATATTCATTGTCATATTTTTTTCTCTGTGAGCTACCACAAGATCTTGTATATATTTCCCTGTGCTATAAAGTATAATCTTGTTTATCTATTCTACAATTTTGAAATCCCAGTCTATCTCTTCCCACCCCCACCCCCTTGGCAACCACCAGTTTATATTCTATGTCTGTGAGTCTATTTCTGTTTTGTATTTATGCTTTGTTTGCTTTTTTTTTTTAGATTCCACATATGAGCGCTCTCATATGGTATTTTTCTTTCTTTTTCTGGCTTACTTCACTTAGAATGACATTCTCCAGGAGCATCCATGTTACTTCAAATGGCGTTATGTTGTTGGTTTTTATGGCTGAGTAGTATTCCATTGTATAAATATACCACTTCTTCTTTATCCAGTCATCTGTTAATGGACATTTAGGATCTTTCCATGTCTTGGCTATTGTAAATAGTGCTGCTATGAACACTGGGGTGCAGGTGTCATTCTGAAGTAGGGTTCCTTCTGGATATATGCCCAGGAGTGGGATTCCTGGGTCATATGGTAAGTCTATTCCTAGTCTTTTGAGGAATCTCCACACTGTTTTCCATAGTGGCTGCATCAAACTGCATTCCTACCAGTAGTGTAGGAGGGTTCCCCTTTCTCCACAGCCTCTCCAGCATTTGTCATTTGTGGATTTTTGAATGATGGCCATTCTGACTGGTGTGAGGTGATATCTCATTGTAGTTTTGATTTGCATTTCTCTGATAATTAGTGATACTGAGCATTTTTTCATGTGTCTATTGATCATTTGTATGTCTTCCTTGGAGAATTGCTTGTTTAGGTCTTCTGCCCATTTTTGGATTGGGTTGTTTATTTTTTTCTTATTGAGTTGTATGAGCTACTTATATATTCTGGAGATCAAGCCTTTGTCGGTTTCATTTGCAAAAATTTTTTCCCATTCCGTATGTTGTCTTTTTGTTTTACTTACGGTTTCCTTTGCTGTGCAGAAGCTTGTATGTTTCCTTAGGTCCCATTTGTTTATTCTTGCTTTTATTTCTTCTAGGAGAAAATTTTTGAGATGTATGTCAGATAATGTTTTGCCTATATTTTCCTCTAGGAGGTTTATTGTATCTTGTCTTATGTTTAAGTCTTTGATCCATTTTGAGTTTATTTTTGTGTATGGTGTAAGGGAGTGTTCTAGCTTCATTGCTTTAAATGCTGCTGTGCAGTTTTCCCAACACCATTTGCTGAAGAGACTGTCTTTATTTCATTGTATATTCTTGCCTCCTTTGTCGAAGATGAGTTGACAAAAAGTTTGTGGGTTCATTTCTGGGCTCTCTATTCTGTTCCATTGGTCTATATGTCTTGTTTTTGTACCAATACCATGCTGTATTGATGACTGTAGCTCTGTAGAATTGTCTGAAGTCTGGGAGAGTTATTCCTTCAGCCTCTTTCTTTCTCTTCAGTAATGTTTTGGCAATTCTAGGTCTTTGATGGTTCCATATAAATTTTATTATGATTTGTTCTAGTTCTGTGAAATATGTTCTGAGTAATTTGATAGGGATTGCATTAAATCTGTAGATTGCCTTGGGTAGTGTGACCATTTTAACAATATTGATTCTTCCAATCCAAGAGCATGGGATATCTTTCCATTTTTTAAAGTCTTCTTTAATTTCCTTCATCAATGGTTTATAGTTTTCTGTGTATAATTCTTTCACCTCCTTGGTTAGATTTATTCTGAGGTATTTTATTATTTTGGGTGCTATTTTAAAGGGGATTGTTTCTTTATTTTCTTTTTCTGTTGATTCATCATTAGTGTAAAGAAATGCAACTGATTTTTGAATGTTAATCTTGTAACCTGCTACCTTGCTGAATTCTTCGATCAGCTCTAGTAGTTTCTGTGTGGACCTTTTAGGGTTTTCTATATATAGTAACATGTCATTGGCATATAGTGACACTTTTACCTCTTC